TGCTGGGCAATCTTCCAGATTGGGATCAGCTGAATCCTTAACCTGAATAGCCTAACATTCACATGGGAATCTCTTAAAATAAGGGGATGGCAGTGGCATAGGAGAAGCTGATTCTATCCAGGTTATGTAGAGAAGGAATGATTGGAGCAGTGAAAAGATTCCCAGCTAAAAGGAAGACATGAAGGACAAAGATGTTAGCAGTTATTATTAGAAGTGTGCATGATCTCCAAGTAGGACCAGCCTTTTGACTCAGACCTAAATAGGCTACAGGGAGCTTGGGACAGAAGTCACTGGAGAGCCCATGGCCAGGAAGATAAAATAGAGGACACCTGGGACTCCTGAAAGCATTAACTCAAATCTGAAGAGCGATAACTCGGAGGGTGGTATTTGCATACTTGCTGTTTCTTGCTTTGCCTAGACCTGTATGATCTTTGTCTGAGAGATAGGAGCGGCTGGTTTAAAAATTCTTCTTCAAAATTGCCTGATTTGCTTCAAATGTTTTGAATCCCCGAGGGTAAAACCAGAGTGCACTCTGAGATGCCATAAACCAGAGTGCACACTGAGATGGTGTTTTGAGGACAGTGCACCTGAAAACTGTGGTCTTGCGTGGGTCATTACTGATTTTAGGGGTTCCAAGCACATACATCAGAGGCCCATATTCTGGGAATGGCATCAGGTACATGCCTGTGGGCACAGAATCTGACTTGACTAACGTCTGCCAGACCAAGCAACCTAGAAGTATTCAGATTTACAGTGGGGCCAACACAGTCGCATTCCTCAATGACATTATGGGTTATACTAGGGTGGAAAGGAGGGGGGCTAATGCGGAACCAATTGAGCATTTTATAAATGAAATTGATATTTATTTCCCTAGTAAATCTTAACAATAAAACAGTAGACTAAGCAACAGTCCACTTACAACACACTAAGAAAAAAAGGCCAGTTTAAAAAACTCTGTTATGCCAAAGATGTCTAATACAAAATCCCTAAGCTAGTCAAAACAAGTTTTACCTCCTACTGATGCTGGCATTATTAAAGAAAGCAAAACAACGTAGGTAGAAACAATTCCCACCACCTATTGTTGCCTATAAACACCAAAAGAATGAGGGGAAGTTCTGTAGGGAAAAAAAGATAAAGAAACTACTGGGAGCTGCTGAAGACAAAAAAAATCAGAGAAAAGTGTTTTTCCTCTGTTGAACCTGTTCTGACATTATTTTCTTTGTGTTGCAAATTTTAGGGTTCATGTCAGTAAGGTGTTTGGGATCTGGCTTTCGATTCCTCATCTGTTTGTATATACAATCTTATCTGATTGTACCAAGCTTTCCTGTGGTCCTAGTCTCAAGTGCCCAATTACCCTCCCCAGGCAATGTCCGGGATGTGGTGACAATGTCCAATGTTTATTAAATGACTCTAGCAAAGAAATGAGGCAGCATTTCATGGTTGTATAGTCTCTCAAAGTCTCTACACATTTTTCTCAGCTGCATACTGGTTGACACTAGAAGCAAAAGGATACCCCTTTCTTAGTGGCAGTAAAGTCAACTGGATGCAGTTTCATAGCTCTAACATCATTGCCGGCAAATTTATTTGTCTAACAGCAGCTTCATAAGACTCCAGTTAGGAACTTGTACTCCTACTTAATCTATTGTTAGTCTAGCCAGCTAAGCTTCTTTTCCAATTTTCAATGGGGTCAAATTCAGCATTACATTAAGCAGGTGTAAATCAGACAACCTGTACCACCTTCTCTTAGCTTATTTCTCTTCAGGAGTAAGCGTAGCTCCCATAAACACTATTCTCCACTGCAAAAATTTTGACTCGAGACATTTGCCATAGCTATGAAATTCTGTAGAAGCTCTTCCCCCCCTCATTACATGCAAGCTTCGGGTTAGCACTAATTACTACTATACCTTTTACCTAACCTGTCTGTGCACATTGCTCAGGTAGACAAAATGTTCCTTATCATTGATTTTCATTCTTAGCACTCTCACCATATATGGATGCAACATCAACAATGCAATTACTCTTCAGACATGAATGTGAGTCATGCTATAAAGGAGGACTAAAGGACAGCAGAAAAATATAAGGCCGCTGTCCATTTCCAGACCTGATTTTTTTTTGTAGGCACAGGTTGAAGCAACATTCAAAGCAATATAAAGGAAGCTGCTATCTTATGTACTTTCTTGTCTCAAGAGGTGTTTAAGTCTAGGTTAGTTAAAATCAGAAATATCAGTTTTAGTATCCTCAAACAGGCTCAATATGCTTCTTATATTGATTTTCACATATTTCCCTTTCTACAAATCACTGTAGCATTAAACACTCCTTTGATTGCTCCCTCTGCAAAATACTCTTGCATGTGTAGATCAGAATGTATCTGGTGCATTCGACACCTGCAGTACCTTCACAGTGCTTTCACAATTGCCAAAAATACTTTTGCAGGATAGAAGACAAAGCTTTTAGAAACAGCCACCAACTACCATATTAATGGAGAATCTCATAACTAAATATATAAATAACATCTTGAAATGTATTTTCCTTAGTTCTTTTGCAATCCTCTAGTTGAAGACTGAGCAAACTCTCTCCCCATTTAAAAAAAAGGAACAAAACAAAGCTCTAGTAATTATTAATGATTGTTTTTATACATTTCCTTATCTTTATGCAAACAGTTGACTTGTTTGGTGCAGCTTGAATGAAAAAAAGCACCAAAAAAGCATTTGTTGATTTGTGTTAAAACTCTGGAAACCTGCAGTTTTTGGAATGGTTTGCTGTTATGGGATGTTATAGGCCTCATCCTCATGAGGAAACTAGCTGCCTAGTTTTTATAATGCATATTCCAGACTGACTCCCTGTTGAATTATTCCTCCTTCCACAACAGTTATGCCAGTTAATTTCTCCATGTAGACAAGGCCCCAGTCTTCAGATAGGCAATTAAGACTTGACTGCAAACTCAGAGCTGGAAGAATGATTTCGGCTGTGTTTACAGAGTACTTGGCATTGTAGAAGCCAGGGGGAAAAAAAGTAAGAAAGGTAACCTTGGTAAAGCAGGGAAGCATAGTCCTACATGCCCTCTTCTCTTGAAACATTAGTGATTAAATAGCTCAAAAAGTTCCATTTTTTAAAGAAGAGTCCCTGCAGGATTCAGAACATGCTGCCCACTGCACACTGCCAAACTAGTATAAAGATATAACTTTAAAAGCACTGCTCCTGCCAGCTCCATTTGCATCTGAGGGATATAGGTCTGAGAACCAGTGCCGTTCCCCCACCATCCTACAAGGGCTAAAAATATGTTTACATGCCAAAAACAATTTCTCTGATGGCCAGGATCTATTCCATCCCTACTCTCCAAACACTGACATTCCAATGCTTGCTGACTTTACATACACACACACATTAGGGGTCCTGCTTGAAGAAGCTATTGGATATTAAGTTAGTTTGCAGATCCTGTATAACTTGATGAGTGCTAGGAACAATTTCCAAGACAGAATGAGAGAAAAGGTAAAATGAAACAAAACAAAAAAGAAACATTTCACAAAAATCTCTGTTGTTGTGATTTTTCAGCCCTTTGAGAGAGCAGAGAAGAAAAAGAAAAAGTACTCCTGGTGTATGTTTAAGATAACTACAAAGGAAATAGTCTCATTGGTGGAACTGAAGTGTGTTTTGATTGCATTTTTTGTTTGCCTTGCTAATCTGACAGATATTGATGGATAATTTAGGAAGGCCAACTTTATTCTAAAAAAAAACAAACAAACAAAAAACACTGCTTCTCATACACGTTATAGCCAGATGTTTTGCTAGGTTCCTAATAGATATCAAAGCTTTCTTTCAATACATGGAAATTACATTTTATAATAGTTGAGATGTCAGCTGGCAGCAGCGGTTCACTGTTCTTTCCATTACTCTCCATTAGTAATAACTCCTTCTAAAAACTGATCATTTTTAGATTTACTGTTTAGAGGACTCCTACCATACAACTTCCTCAACAAGTTGTGTGAGGACTGTCAGTGCCAAGGATCTGTTTGAATTAAAGAAGTTACTCAATGGGGCTGGTGTTTTCAATGCGTTTTGGATCTTTTGGCTTAGGCTGCTCCACTTCCCAACACAGAAACAGCAGTGTAGCTGAATGCAGCAGACAAAGTGAGCTATACCCTTGTCACTACATTAAGTTAGACCACATCGATTTCATAGATTTCTAGGAGACATGGGAGACCCTATGGTTTTTGACAGCCATTCCCTATCAACTCCCACATGAGAAAAACAAAACTAGTGTTTCCTTTTGGATTGTTATTTGTATAATGGGAAACAAGACTTAACCCAGATGGATCTACTAATCTCATTAAGGAATGAGAATCCCTGCACTTTAAACCTAATCCAAGCCTTCCTAGAAGACACTGGTGACGAGTAGACATGCTTTACACATAAACCCACTAATATTTCCTAATACAAACGGCGCATATACACTGTAACTGCTTCTGGTTCCCCAAGCGAGATAGTTTAGATGTTTCTATAATACACTGCATGGTGCAGTATAAAATGTACAGTAAGAGTCTGCCAGTGAAACTTGTCTCTTCAGAGTTAAATCCTCACTTACAGGGGCCCATTCTGTGCTAAGAGCTCCTCTTCCTTATAGTAAAACAAGTTATAACAAAAACACAGAGAAGCCTGGCACCTACCATAACCCACACCCTTAACAGAAGAAAAAAAATCTGGACACTGATTTAAAATGGTATACATTTACTCACTGGACCTGAAAACTGATATTTTTTTTAGGTGAACTCTTCTCTCTCCAATGTGGAATCCAATTCATGTCAATAGGCCAGCAACCAATGGCTGCAGTGTCCTCATGTGAACAAGACTGAAAGTCTGGGGACTGGCGGTCAATTTTCATGAATTGTAACCATTCATTAAAAAAACAAAACAAAAACAAAAATAACTGTGAATGTGGAATAGGGGGAAGGGTGGAGAGGAACAGGGAAAGACATTCTGAAAAAGGAAATGGGAAATACATATTCAGTCTTTAAAAACATCTTTATTTTGATTATGTGGCTACAATTTTAATCCATTGATGCTTACAGTTAAATTGTTCCCAATAAATTTCATATCTTGCCATGTAAACAGTGCATTCTCTATTAAACTGCTGTACAAGAACTTTTATAAAATACAGATTAACTGACATTTTCATCTGTACACTATCCTGGTTTAGTGCACTAATATATCAATTAAAAAGACAAGACAATGTTGGCAAAATCCATTACCGTTCTAATACGGATTAGTACAAAATGGCACTATAAAGAAAAAGGCTGTAAGTGTAGCTAAACTTCTGAGCAAGCTGAATCAGTTCTACTGATTGGGGTCTTACCTCTAAATACCAAGACTCTGAATTAACTCTTAGTCCTCCTCCCCTGGTTGTCAAGAAAAATGCATTTTTGTAAACTGGACCTGTTGTACTATTTTAGAAGCTGAATCATGGCAGCAGCCTCAGATGATTGGCATTCAAGTGCAGTTAAAGAAACAGGGAATTTTCACTATTCCCAATATCATATTTGGATCCATAAGAAATTAGAGCTAGATTTTCTTTTAGTCACATTCACTTATGTACACTTATTTTATAGATACACGTGTGCATAAGTTAGGTGCACAAAATGCCAAGTCCTATTTCTAAATTCAAGAATCAAATCAAAAGGTCTATGTTCATAAATTATACTATCAACCATATCTTTACAGCAGGCTTTTCTAGGCACACTGGTGTTTAGTGCCAGGTAGAGAAATATGAAACGTCTGAAAGATTTCACAGGCAAACAAACTAAAGGCTTAATCCAAAGCCTTCAATAGTAAAGACTGATTACATTGATATTAGCAACCTGTATTTTACTCGGAATGACCCATAGCAAATAGTCAGTTGACTTCATTAGTTCAAACATAATTTGAAAGACAAATGTGTTGCCTCAAGGACAGCAATGAGTTCAAGAACATTTGATTTGATGAGGCAACACTTAAATATTCCCTCCCCCCAGAAAAGTTATGCCCATCTTAGATCAGAATGGTTGATTAGCTCCCACACTTAGGAGTTTTTAATGTCCTTAAGTTTAACAACGATACAGTAATTTATAAAGTTGACCAACTGTCCTTGCAAGACAGCAATCACAGTCCAAGACTGTAAGGAAGTTATACGAGCTTGCAATACTGAGGAAAAAAGGGTCACCTCTCAGGTTTAAAAAAAATTGTTTTATAAAAAGCAAAAACTATAAAGTATGCAATCATTATTTACTCAACAGCTTCACAATGAGAAACCATGATTGTAGCAGTTTCCTTGCATAATTTAAAGATCAATTTCAATGGTCTTTCTACAATCTTATTTTGTAGATCCCCATATGATGAGTCCAAGAACCAATGCTCCAACCGCCAGTATAACAGCAAGGATACACATTTTCTTCCGTGACTTGCGCTGTCAAAAAGAAAGAGGAAAAAAAAAACTTGATTGTTGTACAATTTTCAGGATTAGAAATAATTGCTTCTATGACTTCAGTCATGCAACCTAAATGACTACATACTTAGACAATTGGAAATGTCAAAAAGCAAAGAAGTCATTCAGGAAACAATGGAAATAATAGCTTTGCTCCTTAATTTTCAGGATAGTCTGCTGTTTTCAGCAGAGGGAAGAGGACCATGGGGGTGAACAGAGATCAGGCGAGGAAGGGAGTTGCCCTGTTGAAAAAGGGCAACAGACAAACTTTAATGACAGCACATGTGGTGGCTGCCACAGTGAAAGGCTCAGAAAGCCAGGCAAAAGCAAGGTATATGCCTTATTCTTCTATAGTGGCTAGACTTTAGAAGGGAGGCATTTTATACAGTGAAAGAGGCAGCAGTCCTGCAGAAAAACAGCATGCAATTATGTTAATTAAGGACTATATCATCATACTATTAGAAAAGGGGGGGGGGGTGAGCAAGTTCAAGTTATACCCATCATCTTATTTCTGATAACTGCCCAACTTTTGCATTTTTGACTTTGCAAGCAGACATCTTGGCAGCATTATAATGATGACCACGTGAACTGGAAACTTTTAAATCCAGCACACAGACCAATCACTGGAGCTAATGGAATAACTGATACCAAGAAAAGGCTGTCATCCTCTATGGGGATCCAGCACTAGAGGAAGAACATTTACCACTAGATTTTCAGATATTTGATTGCAGGAGAGGAATGGCAACACTTCAGTCTCGGGTTCCAGCCCAGGCTTTACAAGACAGATGGAATGGACAGATCTAGTGGACAGATATTTCTAGCTGAAATACTTCTAGTGAGACAGCTCTAATGGACAGATATTTCTGTCTACTTCCTCCCCAAGCTTCACCACTTCAGGAACTCTGCCCGGCTACATTGGACAGTGTCCCAGTCCTGTCTCTCTCATTTCTGGTTTCTTGTCCCAATCCCATTCTCCTCACCTACCCAATCCCACTCTCCAATCATCAGACTTCTCTTCCCCGTTAATCTTCTTGACTGGTCAGTCAAAGTCTCCTTTTTCAGGCTTTCTGTCTGAAGGCATGGACAGATGACACATTTACACCAGTGTAATCTATTTCACCCTGGTGTAACAAAGCAGCAGACAGATGACAAACCAGGGTAACTTCACACAATCCAGTGGAGAATTACCCTCAGAATGATCAAGGCAAAACTCTACCCATTTAGGTCTACTGCCATTCTGGTTTGCTAAAAGTGAAAGGGCTATTACCAGCCCCCACAAGTGCCTTAAGGCAAAGCACTGTAATGGCAGTCAACTGTGGTCTCTGACATTCATTTGAAGGCACAATGGCATCTGATCAACAATCCCAAGAATTGTACCTCCTTCCACGCCACATGTGCATGGCAGGAGATGTGACTGTGACATCAGGGATCAGATTATAACTGAACCAGCAATTTGGGTGCCCAGCTGGTTATCAGCTGGCTGAGACAGCCTTGAAGCTTGAATCCTGGTGCAGTCCCTGCCAGCCCAAGGCAGACTGGGACAGCACTGGGTGGGGTTGAAACTCCAGGACAGTCCCTATGCTGCCCAGGATCAGTTAATCGGGACTGTTGCTGGGCTGACACCCTGGGGTAGTCCCTTTCACACATTCCATTTAAGGCATGATGGAAACCAGACAGAGTTAATAAACATGTTGTATAATTTTTTTTATAGTTGGTTTCTCATTTTATTGCACCATTAATCCCCTAAAATGTGTCCACTTTACACTTTGAGAGAGACGATTAACCCGATCACATCTTAAGTGTCACATCTGCCTGGGGTCTGTGTGAACTACTCCAGGATTGTTGTACCTCTTTGTGTTCCTAATCCCTATGCAATTTTCACCTGTTACAAAACAGATGTAAGCTGCACTGGGTACGTGCTCACCAGTCCATGCCCAGAGGCCCATTATCACTTCCTGGAGCCTGAATCCTTATTCTCCCGTTCTTCCCCACAAGATTCCTGTCAAATTTAATCATTCTCTCTCCCTAGCCAACTTCATGTTTTCTCCCTCTGTCATTTCACTAACTGGCTCTCATGCCCATATTCCTTGCCCAAACAAGTCTAGCCTCCTTCCAACTATCAATCACAGCCTCACACTCCCAAACACTGTTTCTCTCTATACTCCTTATAGGGCCATCCTACTACTGCACTCCCCTCCATCATCTCCTTCCACCTCTGATCCAACTTGCTTCCTCTGCATTTAAATTAGGCCAATCTTTCCTCTGTGGGGCAGAGAGCTCAATGAGGGTACAGAAGGGACAGGCATTCCTGCTTCAATCTCAGTTTCTGGCCTAACTCAAAGCATCCATTATGGGGAAAATACAGCACTGTCCTTCTTGGTCTGGGTTTCAGCATGCTCACTTGATCTCTGTGCAAAAGGAAGGTGGTAGATGCACAACCTGGTAGGAGCTGTGAGGGGAGGGAACTCGTTCATTTGCTTTGGGGACAGAGTGCATCCAGTTGCATCAGAACTAGCCTGTTGAGCCCTTCAATACTCCTCAGTGAGAATTGAACAGGATGACATCTGAGCATCTAAAAAAGGAGCCTCTACTGAACAAAGACTGCAGGAGACTGGGAAGAATGGAGAAAAGTTATTGTTACTTCAGAGGTGCTCCAATGGTCAGTGTGGCCTCAGGACTGACTGAACCCATCTGATACGATTTTTCAAGGGCTTAGAATTTAGCCAAGTTTGGACATATTTTCATGGGAACCACAAAAAAGCACAGCCCCGAATAAAAGGCCACGCCTGTCATATATTTCAAGTGTCTGCTCTAAAATACGTCAGAATAGAGCTGCTACCAGAGTGGTCGCCAAAATGTTTTAATCTGACTTAAAAATAAAAATCTGTTTTCCATTAGAAAAATGGAAGGGATGAGCTGTTTGGCTGAAATTAAAAAAGACATCTCTCATGGAAAAAAATAGCTGGAATAGTTAGTTTGGCAAAGCTATAAAAAACTGAAAGCAGTGTCCCAGAAATCAGAAGTGTCAGGCTACTTTAATAATGGGTAGTGTTACCAGCCTCACCTACAAACACATCTTACAGAACTTATACATCCTGTTTTTCCCACCATAGAAGTGAGGGAACAGTCCTTCAAGTTGGAGTATAATGACATTTTCCCATCATTTCTTTTGCCTAGCTATTACTTCAACATGTTATATAAGGTTTAAAAATGTAAAGACTAAGTTTAGTCGAGGAGGAGAGCTTATTAGTAATAAGTTCTTTCTAACGATGCCAAAATCCATGAAACCTTAAAAACTCATTCATAAAGGTTCTCTTTGAAGGTCTGAGGACAGGGAAGAAAACAGATGGGGGTCTAGAAAACTATGAAGTCAATTTAGGGACTGTGCAATCTGCGGGATATATAGCCTCAGTAAGCAAAAAGTTGATGTGCACAACAGGGATATGCTGTCAAAGCAGTACCCCTACTACCTGGGCCTTTAATTTAGAGCAGTGATTCTCAACCAGGGTGCTGCAGTAATCTGGGACACCTTGAGATCCTTGCAGCAGAGGGTGTCACATAATATTAGCATCATTAGCTGTGCCATTCTGTCTTTTCCTAAACTGGGATCCTTGAAAAAGCCTTCAAGCTTTTTTTCTTTTTAATAAACTATAAAACAGATTGGAATAGTAACCTGGACATAACAGAAACCTTGACAACCAAAATGATCTGTTATTGACTACTGACTGACCATTAACACTGATACTACCTGATAGTCTGATGCTCTTGAAAGCTGCTGGTTTGCTTGCTGGACATGGACTTCAGCATTTTCTACGTTGGCTTCTATGCTGTCTTTATTGTGAGAGAAAAACAAAAAAAGAAAAAATAGTTTTTCAATTAAAGTCTAAGCTAATAAAGCCTGATGTGCTGATCAACCATGTTACTAATTAACTATGACTAAAAGTATTGCAAATCTGGTTTGTTTTTTTTTTTTTTTTTAGAATCCTAGAGAAGACACTTGCTTTTTAAAAGAAATTCTAGTAGCTTTTCCCTTGAATTGCTATATGTAACTGATCAAATCAAACATTTCATTCAAAGAAAGCCACCACTAATTAAATTAGTAACGCAGTATAAAGTAGTTCTATATAACCACCTCACTCAAAAGCAAAATGAAAATATGGTCTCATAACAGGTTAAGAGATCTGCATCTCCTAAAAAGCACGGACCAAACTGTATTTTATAAACACAGTAGTTGGAACACCAACATATATGCAGACCAGTCATTTGATGCTTATGGTTTACCTTCAAGGACATGCTGACTTTTTACTACTGCTTTGTGAGTTCTCATTTTCATATTTCGTATATGTAATGTGTCAATGCCAAAACTAACTTCTGAACCACACAGGGTATTCCAAAGTTCCCTTCATGTTTCATAACTTTCTAATTCAGGCATTGGGGTGGGGATGGGCTGGGCCTGGGATATGAACTAAGGAGGAAAATTTCTTGCATGTTGATTTTTCTCCCCCACACAAGATGGATTTGAGGCAGTGAAGAACTTAGAAGGCCTTGTGGATCAGTAATTACTCAGACAAGTTATGGGGACCAAAAAATTGTCAGCTAGGCCATGAATGCTGGATAAAAGGTGTATTATTTTAATTAGAAATACCCACCTACATGGGAAAAGTTTACCAGTGTTTTTATACTGCTATGCTGATTTAACTTCCTGTGTGGACAGTCTTTCAAAGTAACCGTGACCTTTTTTTGGTTTAATTTAATTAGTTTTGGCTCTCATAACTGCAAAGGGCATGTGTATGCATGTGCACGCTTTCATATTTTCGTTCTGCTTTAACAGATCATCCAGCAATCTCCCTCTAGCTAAAGAAAAACAGGCTGCCCCTTAAGTACCTAAGAAGTCATTCCTCTGATAGTGGCCAAAGTAGATGTTATACAGAGAAAGCACTGAACCAGATCTCTAAAGTGATTTAGTACCCCACTTTATTGGTTTAGTGATACCAGAGGAAACATCTTCCTTATCTTAAATCCAGACTGTCTCATGAAATGAGACGTACCAACTGTTCACTGAAACCAAATCACTTTGCTTTCTGGAAAAGTACGATTTCACTATTTAAAACAGAGATGCATAAATGTTATAAAGTGATGTGTTAATTTCCTTTAACCACTTGGATGTTATTCTTAAATTTTCCCCCAGTGTTTACTTCAACACAAATTCCATAAAAAGTGTTCAAAAATACTTCCATGGAGCTTACCTATCACATCTCCTTGTTCATGAATCATCATTCCTAGGTCTTTAAATATTTCATTAATATCCATAATATCTGCCTACAGGAAGAAACAACAACAAATTACGATCAGTGAACATAACAGGAAATTTTTGTACCTAGGGGAAATTTTCGTAGATTCATAGACATTTGGGTTGGAAGGGACCTTAGCAGTTCATCAAGTCCAACCCCCTGCCCTGGGCAGGAAAGAGCACTGGGGTCAGATGACTGCAGTCAGGTCTAGCCTCCTCTTAAAGATACCTGCCCCCCTCCCCCCAGTAGGGGAGAGCACCACCTCCCTTGGAAGCCCAGTTGATATACATTCGGTTCTTAAAATACAACAAATATTTATTTCCAAGGTATAAAATACAAGGGGTATAAAAAGTATAAGGGACGATTATTTGAATACAGTAAAAGCTCTGTTATCTGGCATTGCCCGGGAGCATGCTGGCTTGTAAGATGCCGGATAGCGCAGCTTTTACTGTATATCCAAGATTTTCCTATCTGCTTACCCCTCTATTGAATCCAGGAGGTTTAATAAAGCAGGGCAGCACTTAATGGATCAGTGAAACATTGTTTTCATATATAAAGTTCTTCCTTTGCCATGTGATAGCAATTTTTGCTTTTAAAAAATAATTACTAACCTCTCAACATAATTCTCCCCCTGATTAACTGCCAGTACTAGCTACATTAAGACACGCTTTTTGGAAGCATTATAAAAGTGTTGTCAAGACTGCTGTATCCTAAATATGTACAGTGCTGTCTTGCTTACCTCAAGCTGCCTGATGGAAGACTCTCTCTCCTCAATAAGACGAAGATCATCTTCGGTAATTTCTTCATCTTGCACTTGTGCTTGAGGTTGACTAGGAGGGAGGTGAAAATAATAATGAAAAAAGAACAATCAGCCCAACTAAATTCTTATTAAGACTAAGGTTAGGATACACTTTACAACAGAAAACTATACAAAGATACATATAACTTGCTCTTACCAGCATTCACATATCCATATGCTTTCGCATATATTTTACCCTTGAAAAAATCTAGTAGCAGCTGATGCAAAAAACCTGAATCCTCAGGGTGTTGTACATGTATGCTTTAAAGGATTTTGACATATTAGGCTCCTATGTCTGTTTAGCTGGCTGCTGAATATTTTCTAATTAGGAGACTGACAGACGAAAATATTTACATGGGTGTAATTGGTATTATTTCAGTGTAAAAAAAAAAAACCCAACACAAACCCCTATTCTGGAGTAACTTTAGCCCAACATGGTGGCAAACTATCCCATGAGAATAAGAGGTCAAGCTTTAATGGTTTAAAAGTTACACTAGTTAGTTTCAACTATTTGCATCCAACCCAGGATAACCATTCACTAAAGGCAAACAAGGCTACTAACTCCTCCTTTGCTATCTAGCAGTGAGGAGCAGCTAAAACAGTCTATTTTGTCACCTAACCCAGGCACAGATGTTTGATCTTGGCATAACTTGCATTCACATACAAAGCTCTTGCAAACTTTATAGGAATGTGTGTTTCTCTATCCATCCCCTGGATCCACATATAGGGAATGCTTTTTTAGATTTGTATTCTGAACTGCAAGTATGTCATGTAAAGTTAAAATTCATTTCTAAGCACAGACCCCCCAAGTTAAGACAGCCTGAGAATGAGAAGCTGCTTTTAGGGAAGGCAGGTATTCAGTCTAAACCTTAAATATCTTGATTCAAATTTCAGAGACTTAGATATCCAAATTCAGAAGGATAAAATAAAAGGCTATGCTGCTTTAAATCACTGTCTACTACAGAGGCAGTTGAATGAAAGCTAACTACTACTGCTTCTCGCTTCAGAAAATCCTAGCATGCCAGAAGGATCATCACTGAATTTAAATTGTTGTTTTAAAACAAACAAACAAACCTGGCTATGCAAAAATTATGTTCTTATGCTTGCAGATTTTTAGTTAGCAGTACTGTTAATGCACATGCACTCCTCCTCCCATCTGCACAGTTTTATCTTGCACTTGGTGTTTTCATTACTGAAAACAAACGAGAGGGACAGCAAATGGGTGAAGTTTCTGTTTGGGGCACTTAAATTAGTCAAAGCTGAGCAGCAACCTTGGACAAAAAAAAAAAAAAAAATTTAACAGTGGAACCAGCACCCCAGGATGCCTTGAGATCCTTTCAAGAGTGATATGGGGTGTCATGCAATGCTAGTACTGTCAGATGTACAAACATGATTCATAAGATAAACCCAAAGATCTCATCTAGAAATCTAGAGTGTTTAAAATATTGGGCACCTATACACGTTGGATGTGTTGGAGCAAACTCAGGGACTTTATTTGGGAACTGACTTAGCAAAAGCTGTACAAGCCAGACCAGAATCCAGAGTATGCACGGAGGGGTGGCTAGCCTCCATCAAAATCCATGTTATTTTGGCTTCACTGCCATTGTTACCGGAGGCAGGAAAATTAAGCCAGGCCAAGTATGTCACAGTCATGCCAATGTGGAAAGTCATAACCTTTCATTAACTCTGCCACAAGAACTCAGGGGTGGAGACCTTTCCAACCAGCATGCTTCAGCAGCCTGTGTTACATATATTCAGCATCCTTGTGCTTCAAAATGGCAGTAGGAGTGCTTTAACTAGTTAGTTGAATTAGCTTTAAAGCACTTCCACCACCATTTAGAAGCACAGGATGCTGAATGAATGTGATACTGCAGGCGATTCAATTAAAGTGGCCCCTCCCCCCACCCCGGAGCACGTGTAAAGATGCCCATTTTGATCTGTTGTGGGTTTTCTGAGTCCTCTGCAACAGAAACATGGCTCTACTACTTTTCTGTAGTCAGAAAACAGAGTAAGAGTTCAGAGCTCTCATTGCCAAGGGGTGTCTTGAGTCTAACATGGGATGCCACGAGTCTAAAAAAAAGGTAAGAACCACTAGATTCACAGGATTAGGAACCAGAACTGCCATGAGAATTGGGGTGAAAAATGATTTCTCATTTTATGATTTATAGTCCAGAGATACTGTAGCCTTAACAATAAATCACAAATATAATGATATTCACATCTCATTTGCACCTGAGTGTTCCCATCCCTCACCATAGGAACTTTATTTCGGAACAGACTTCAGCAAAGGCTGTACAGCAGGAGGGAGCCACAGAGGGGCAGGCATCAGGGAGGGAGCAGAGGTGGCAGTGGGGAGACAGGTGGAGGGGGGGCAGAGGCAGTGGCAGGGGACAGAGAAGGGG